GGGCGCGCGGAGCAGCGCAGGCGGCCTGGGCTTCGCTCCCGGCGCGGCCTCGGCCACGGGCGGCCGAATGGGGTGGGTAAAGGGAGCCGTCCTCTCCCAAAGGGCGGGGGAACGCCTGTCCCTGACGGCAGACAGACAAGGGACAGAGGCCTGCGAAAGTTTCTCATGTATCCTGTCAAGTACTGTCTATCTCAGCTCTTCCATAAAATGGGGAAAACTCCTTCTGCAAGTTATAATGAATCCTTCATCACCCCAGGGACCTCAAAAACCCAAAACACAACCCCCATTCCACCCTGGAAAGGACCCCGCCCCCACAGCCGGCGAGGCCCAGTGGGTGACTGTCCCTTCCAGGGGACCCTGTGGGGAGCCCTGCACACCGCCCGTGGCCGCTGGCCGTGGCAGGCGTCGGCCTCGGGACATCCGCTCTGGAGGCAGCGGGGAGCGCAGAACGGTGCTCCGCAAGCTGAGCCTCTCTCTCAGACTCCTCCCTGGGGCAGCGGAAAGTGAAAACATTTCCACTCCCACTTCGCTGAATCTTTCCATCTTCACAGAGCGAAATAAGCACACACACCTAGGTAAGAACAGGACCTGCTGCTGCGTGCCCCTCTGGGCCTGACCTCGCAGCGCCAGCCAGCTCGGCTCTCCTGTGAGCGGAACGGGGGCTGTGCAGACTCTCCTGACCAGGCAGGCGGGGCCCCTTCCTCAAAGGGCTCCGTGCTCTCGCATCCCTGATCTCGGCCCCATCCCTGCCTCGGGGCTCACCTGGGGAGGTCTGCTTGATGACGCGCACGATCTGCTCGTTCCTCGGGTCCAGGTAGCCCATCTTGCTGATAAACTCCAGCGCGGCCTCGATGCTCCTGCTGCCAGTCTGCTTGAGCGCTCTGCCCGCCATCTCCTGGGGGGAAGCACGGAGATGTGAGCCTCTGTCCCTGCCCCATGCCAGGCCGTACTGTCACACTCTGCCAGGACCGCTGGGCCGTGCAAGGTGCTACAGAGGACTCTCAGAATGCACACGAGGGAGCTGGGTGTGGTGGTGCACCAGTGTAATCCCAGCACTCTGGAGGCTGAGGCAGGAGAATCACAGTTTGAGCCTACCTTGGGCAACTTAGGGACTTAGTGAAATCCTGTCTCAAAGGGGAAAAAAAAAAGGCTGGAGACAGCTTAGTGCACAGACCCTGGCTTCAATGAACTAGTACTGAAAAAAAACACTGCATACAGGTGGCCAAGGTCCTGTGGATGACTGAGACAAAAGCCAGCATATAGCAGAGCACAGACTACTGAAGGCATACAGAAATCTGGTGGTGGACCTGTGTGACAGTTAGGCTTAGGAGTCCACTTGACTGGCTTGGGAGCTACGCAGGGGCTTAGTAAAACTCACTTCCGTGTGTGTCTGGGAGGTGGTGGAGTCCTAACTTGGTCTGTATCTGTTCCTCACCCCTTCCTCTCTGGTGCTGTCCCCTACTCTTCCTGACCGCCGTGACTGAGCAGCTCTGCCTGGCCCAACCCTTCCGCCATGACGTTCCTGCCTGGGAGCCAGCGGCCCAGAGAGCAAACCTCCAACACCATGAGGAGGTTAACCTTTCCTCTGTGAAGTTATGGGTGTCAGGTACTTCGTCTCAGCTCACCAATACAATCTGGAGAAAGTTTAAATTCTTCTCTCTAAAGAGCTTTTGTGGTTGGACTACTAAATGCAGGATGAAACTAAAATCAGAACAAGTTCCGCTGCAGAAGGAAGAGGGGAATCCAGGAAGCAGCCTGAATCCCAGCTCACCCCAGGCTAACTGCGGGACCAGCTAATGCGCCTTGCAGGGGAGGGTGTGAGTGCAGAAGGGCCATTTAGGCACATTCACTGAGTGCCTGCTGTTTACAGCGTGCCATGCCCGCCAGGGCAGTCGGGATTGCCCTTAGGGACCTGTTCGGTGCGAGAAAGAAAAAGCATCCCAGAAGTCCCTGGAGCCCTGTCAGCGTGGGGCACATCCCTTCAAACTGCTTGTAGGACGAGCAGAAGACGGACACCAATGGCCACCACAGGAGAGGTATGGGGGGTGGATGACAGAGGCGGTGGCTCCCTGCCACCCAGGGGGCGAGGGGGTGGCCAGCTGGTCCTTCAAGCCCGACAGCCTTTGCACAGGTGGTGAGTCGGGGACAGAACAGGTACCGTGGACGGAAGCCTGGGGGCGTGGGCTCGAGGGGACAGGCAACGGGGAGCTGCGGACGGAGGCCGGGCCGCCCGAGGTTGCCCCGTCCTCAGGGCCGCAGGAGCAGAGGCAGGGACAAGCGAGTGTGAGACGAATCCAGGGTGGCCGTGGGTGCGGGGGTCAAGGCATGCAGGCGGGCGAGGCTGAAGAGCCACGCGGGAACTGGAGACGCGGTGGCGGCAGGGCGGGAGCGCAGCTCCCAGACCGGAGGAGCAGGCTGAGGCTGCGGCGGCGGCAGGGGTCCGTGGCGGGGACACCGAGCACCGTGAAGGCGGGGAGAGGCGGGGGGAGTGGAGACTTAGCCAGACCTGAGTGGGGAGGGGCAGGGAGTACTGTGGGGCACCACCCCTCCGCCCAGACGCCGTGCCCACTGCCCCCAGCAGCGCGCTGGCGCCTGTCACTCGAGTCCCTCTCAGCTGTCTGTGTGTGTGGCTCCCTCGGGACCAGGAGAAGCTGGCAGGACAGGAAATTGCATGTGACTCGCGGCTACCTCCGCCCACCCCGCACAGAGCCTAGGATCAATTAAATGCTTAATGTCCATATGGCCATGTCACACCATTGCCTGCGTTCTGTTCCTGGCGAAGGACCAGCTCAGCAGTAGAACATCACACTCTCGGTGTACTTGGCTACACAATCTGCAGCGTGGTATGGGGCCCTGCAGGATGGCAGCGTGGGAGGGGACCAGGGCAGGGCCCAAGATGGCAGGCTTGTCACAGGGCCACTGCCACATGCTGCGTGGGAGGGTGGAACAGAAGCCACAGCTCAAGAAGCACAACAAGCTGGGCGTGGTGGCGCATGCCTGTAAACCTAGCACTTGGGAGGCTGAGGCAGGAGGATTATGATGAGTTCAAGGCCAGCCTGGACTATACAGGGAGTTCAAGGCCATCCTGAGTGACATGACAAGACCCTGGCTCAAAAAGAGAAAAAACAAAGTGGATTGTGGGACCGTAATCCCAACAGAGCTAGGCAGACTACCCGGAAGCTGAAGCAATAGGATCGCCATGAGTTCAAGGCCAGCCTGTCTCAAGAAACACTCAAACCAATGAAAACAAAACGGACAGCTGTTCTGTCCAGCCGCGCCTGGGCTGACTGGAGGAGCACGTGCTGAGCACCTGGATGAGGCAGCGAGCCTGGGGTGCCGTGCCCTGCTCACCGGGGCAGTGCCGAGACTTCGGCTCCCCACTTCGCAGCTGTGCTACAAAATGAGGTCACGTCTGCAAGACGCTACCGCTGGAGGAAGGTGCACTGTAACACCACGTCCAGCGGGGTCATCTTAGCCGCAGCTCTGGGCAGCGCCAATGTGAGCAGACCCCAACCGTCCAAGGGCTTCACGGGAAACAGGACCGCAGCCCCATCTCCTCGGGCTGAAGCGCCAGCCGCGCCCCTGGCTGTGTTCTCAGTCTCGGAGGGAAAGCTCCAGGAGAGACCCGGGCCCCGAGTCCACACTCTCCCTGTCTGCCTCTCATGGAGGAGCGCTGAGAGAAACCAACGAGGGGTCGCGGGTGCAGACCTGTGCTCAGAGCTGCTTCAGGGAGCACGACCAAACCAGTCAGGAGCTAGCTTGTTCCTAAGTGAGACTTCTGCCCTACCCCACGTCAGTCGGGGCTTGCCCCTGCTATCTGGCCATCGCCCCTGTGAAGCAAATGCGCAGTCTCCACAGTCGCCTCTCAGAAGAGATGCTGCCCCACCAGAGCCCCCCTCGGCGGCGTGCGGAGCAGGGAAGGCGGCGCAGGGCCTCACGCGTCCGAGGCAAGCGCTCTGTCACTAGGCCGCGCCCAGCCCCTCTACGTCTGCTGTGAGAGCTGAAGGGAACCCTGAATCTATTTGTAAATTGGTCTAGAAAACACGTCTCAGGGTGACTAGACAGTACACACAGAAGCACAATGGAGGGCCAGGTGTGGGGTGCACACCTGTAACACCAGCACTTGCAAGGCCGAGGCAGGAAGATCGCCTCCAGTTCAAGGCCAGCCTGGCCTACATAGTGAGACCCTGTTTTCACAAAAACAAAAAAGCAGGCACAGCAGGACCACAGGTCTCTCACTGGATGAGGCGAGGCCGAAGTCCAGCGGAGGCGCTTGGCCTCTCACCTTCCTTTCTCAAGAATGCTCCGAGATCGCTGCTGCAGAGTCCAGGTCTGGAGCGTGTGGTTATTCCCGGTGCAGGCGATGGCACAGTGCTGCAGAGACGGGGTGGGCAGCAGCCGGGCCTCCTCCCTCCCGTCTGCCTCCTAGCAACGGGGCCGCCCCAGCAAGTCCCTACCCCCTCTCAGCACCTGCGACTTGATGCTGACAGGGTCGCTGTGGGGATCCAGGAGACAATGGCACGTTTCAGCGCCACTTCAGGGCAGCCGTCACTGTGCACACAAATACCTTAGTTGTCTAGCAAACGGCGACAGACCACGCAGGCTTGGCATTTAACCTGTCTAATGCTTTGCATTTCCCTCTTTTCACTGTTGTTCTTTCCCGCAGCTCTCAACACGCACTCCAGTCTTCTCCAGGTGACCGCCCGCTGCCGTTGGCACTGACCTCGCAGGGGCTAAGAGCACGTGCAGCAGGGCAGCCCTCGCCTGCCGTGGGAAGGGGTGGGAGGACGCTGGTGTGTGGGCCAGCCGCCACAGCCCAGCAGTGATCGGTGTGTGTCCCTCAGATGAGTGAGCGAACGACTGAATCCGACCCTGAGCTGCAGTCAGCAGAAAGGGGAGAGCTGCCAGCAGGGACTGAGGCAGGGCACGGTGCCTGGACCCCTGGGCAGGCTGCCTCTGCTGTGGACACCTCACACTCAGCGGCAGTCCACGGCGACTTCTCCACGTGCCGCTTTGTACACAGCTGCACATCTGGGCCATTCTTGAGGTCAGCCCTTCTACAAAGGTAGGAGGTCAACACTGACCTATGGGCTGCTCACCACTTACCAATGGAAAATGCAGCAGGCCAATGAGATTTTGATCACTGTACACCGCCTAGCACTGCACCAACAGAATGCTGTACACCACTCAGTGCTCTGCCTACAACATTGCACAAAGCTTACTTGACGATTGCTCAATGTCTTTGCAAGGGGCTGCTGGCCCATTAGGGACTGGGGCGCCACGTCCATAAAGCTAGCCTTCTAGACAGCAGGGCTACAGCGGGGGCCGTCCTCAGAGGCACATTTGGCACAAAACACCTCCAGTGCTCAAGCTTGCTTTGTCACTGGCCACTCCACGCCACCTACTGCCATGGAACAAAGGCAACAGACACCAAACCAGACCCTGCTTAGCCCAGGCCCTCCCGCCCTCCCACCTGGGAGCATCCTGGCCTGGAGGGTTCCTTCACACCTCCGTGCAATCCAGAAGCGCACTTACCTCTGCCTAGGCTCGAGTGGGAGAAGATCCTGGATGCTTCAGAAGCAGCACTGATGCTGTTCCTCCCATCCCACGCCCAACCCAGCAAATCCCGCCATGGCGCCAACCCCACTGCCTCACAGCTGGGGCCACAGCTGTGACCAGATAGCTAATTCCCCGCCGTGCTCCTCCTCGCGGCCTGTATCTGCGTCCCTGTGCGCCGTTCCCACAGCTTCGTTCCCACGAGCTGCTCCTGCAGGCTCGCACATTTTCAAAGGGAACTTTTCTCCAGACTCGCCGAGGGAGGGGGCCGGACGGCGGAGTGCGGCCGCAGCAGGGCACCGGAGCCCCGGCCAGCCCCTCCCCAGAGCGCCTCGGGTC